GAAATAGCCAGATAAATATGTTGAAAAAGCGTCTAAAGGAATGCATAATTTCGATAATACTTCTGACCATTTCCTAGAAGATGTACAATGTACTGCTGTATCTATGATGAATTTAGAAGAATTCCAAAGTCTTAAAATTGTTTATTGTTGCAAAATTTGTACAATTACTTTAACTAAATATTAGGCACATATGATGCCATAACGTACATCATTTTATCATCGTATATCGTTTCATTTACAACATCATTTTGTTCCGAATTTTAAAATTAAATCTAACAGCATATTTAATTACAATTAATAACATTTTTTATCTACACTTGCCGACGTTTCGTCTATTTAAATTGCACGGGACCCGAATGGAACCGACATCTACTAGTACTCGTGATTTATTATACCGATTTTAAACTTTTTAGATGTTAACTTTTGCTTTCACTTTTATTTGGCCTTCAAATGCCTATTAAATACTGGTCTCGAGGAATCTTATGTAAATCTACGAAACACCGACAAGTGTAAATAACTACGTTTGCTACTTAATGATTTCAGAATCTTTTTTTTTTTCAGGTAGTAATAAGTTGCATTTTTGCTGCTTTTTTATCACCGATGACCGTTCAGTACTGGAAATTTAGGGAGTGAAAACAAGAATATCTAACATAAAAAATGCGTTCATATACAAGAAAATCAATTGTGTGGAACTATTTCGAAATGCGACAGGATAAACAAAGCGTCATGTGCAATATATGTAAAAAACAATACAAATACTATGGCAATACCACCAATTTGAAAGAGCATTTGAAAAGACTTCATCCTGCGGCGCTTGTAAAAAAAGAAGATCAGTCTGCTAAAAAAAGCACAACACAAGGATACGCAGAAAAGTGCACTACACCAGCAACTGCTGCATCTTCCAGTTCCAATTTAAATCGGATAAAGAACAAGCCTGCGGAAACGAGCATTTGCACAACTAATGTCAAACGCGCTAGGCAATCCGTAGAAGACTCCGCGGAAGTCATACTGATTACCGAAGAATACAGACAACTACTCGATGACTTGGTTGTTAAACTAGTTGTTACAGACTTTCAACCGCTATCGATTGTCGAAGACCGGGGATTTAAAGAGCTTGTCGCCAACCTGAATCCGAATTATAGTTTGCCTTCAAAGAAAACTCTGAGCAAGCAGTTATTGCCTCAGTGCTACTATAAATTATATGCTGGATTTATGGAAAAGTTACACTCTCAGGACCACATGTCAATAACGACTGACTATTGGACGTCGAATACTGAAAAAGCCTATATTAGCGTAACCGCGCACTTTATTCAGGACTGGAAGTTATATGCGATAACATTGGCAATTCGTGAAGTGTCGGTTTCTAATAATAGTGAAGATACTGGTGCCGTGCTTAAAGACATTTTGGACGAAGTCGGTGTTTTCGACAAAGTTGTAACCATTGTGACCAACAACGCTGAAAATATGAAACAGGCAGTCCTGAATGATCTTAATAAACACCATCACCCGTGCGTCGCTCACACTGTTAATCTTTGTGTGAATGACGCACTTGATAGTATCAAAGGCCTGTCGCCTATTTTGACCAAGTGTCGACTCTTGGTAGGCCATTTCAAGCTCTGCACTCTGTCGTATCGAAAGCTTCACCAAAAACAAGAAGAAATGGGCTTACAAGCACTAGGGTTAAAACGAGAGGTTCCCACTCTGTGGAACTCCACATACCTCATGATGGAAAGGCTTTTGCGATTAAAACAGCCACTTTCCATCGTATTGGCCGAGTTGACGTTGGAATCAGCGCCAAATAATTTATCCGGCTCCGAGTGGGCGATCGTAACAGACTGCGTGGTAGCATTAAAACCATTTATTACCATAACAGAAGAATTAGCATCAGAAAAGTATGTAACTATGTCGAAAATTGTACCTCTGATCAAAGGTTTACAGTTCACTTTGAGGCTTGTAAGCGTAGACACTTTCGTTGGTGAGCAATTGAAGGAATCATTGTTGGACGCCATTTCAAATAGACTGGGATATTTGGAGGTAAACAAAATGGTGGCCAAGGCCACAATTGTGGATCCGCGTTTTAAAACTGCCGGATTTGGCATCGATAGCAATGCTAGAACTGCGCAGGATTGGTTGACTGAAGAGTTGGCGATAATACTTGAAAATAAAACAGAAGATGCCCCGGAAGTTATTGAGCTCACCGAAGACATGGTTGAAACTAAACCTCAGATCGTCGATGAAGGCAATTTATGGTTGCATTTTGATCAAAAAGTCGCAAATGCCAGTTCGGTCGAAGAACCCAATTCTATGTCTGCTATAATGGTAAAGCAGTACTTCGAAACGAAACTTTTGCCCAGGAAAGATGATCCCTTGATGTATTGGAAAGACCATGAACGGTTTTTCCCAGAACTGGCAAATTTGGCTAAAAAATATTTGTCAATACCAGCTACATCCATTCCAGCTGAGAGGCTATTTTCTAAATCCGGATATATGTTGAATGAAAGAAGAAGCAGATTGCCTTCCAAGAATTTAAATGAAATCTTATTTCTTAATGCTAACATGTAGCGTCAACAATTTCCGCGATAATAAGTGATTAATGTGTTAGTTATAACTATAACATTTATTCTAGAATTTAAAAATACCAAGTATCTGGACAAGGGCACGGAGCAGTTACATCTCGACCGATCGTGTTAAAGTTAATAGTTTCCGAGGTACAGGGTGTCAAAGTGTAAATAAATTATGTAATTGAATGTAATAAAATTTCGTTTTTCAATTGATTCTTAAAGGTTTTTTTGCTGTGGAAAAATTGCCGTTTTAAAATGTCGAAGTCAAAAAAGGCTTGAAAAAAGACCTAAAAATTACACGCTGAGTTACAAAAACCGATTCACTTATTTCATACAAGTTTTTCATACAATATTTCAAAGTTTTATATATTAACGTCGAGTTTATTGTAAGAAAATACCAATTAATACAGGGTGTCTCAAACTCAAGTGGCGATACAAACTTATATTTTTTAAATGGAATTTTTTATTTCATATTCTGTACTTTCCAAAGCAAGGAGCATCCTAAATTCTGTTTGGATACAGACCAACTCATCGAAGAATGGATGAAAACCGACAAAAACTTACCAAGGTATGGGGACCTGAATAAGATCGTGAATAAGGCCATCAGAAAAGATCAGAGAGCTTATGACACGAGGATGATCGAGGAAACCATAGAGAACAACGCAACCGATGAAAAATGATCAAGGAGTCATTGAGAGTGAATGAGGAAAGATCGCAGAAATTATTGAAATATTCTATCGACGACTGCACAGCCCATCGGTGGCACAACCAGGTCAATAAGGTCAATTCATCAGCCAGTCCTAAACGTAGGATCAGAGGAATTAGTTCCCATTGATGCAGAAGAACTAGAGGCAGCGCTTAAACA